ACTCTCACGCAGAATCCAATGTTTCATGCTCGCATGAAGCACATCGAAGTAGATTTCCATTTTATACAAGATCATATTCAATCAGGAGAAATTATCATAGTTTCAATTTGCACAATTGATCAAATTGCTGACATTCTAACAAAACCTCTCTCTACTTAAAGATTTCAATTGTTGCGATTCAAACTAATGATTCAACCACCATCGCCAGTTTGTGGGGGAATAATAACAGCTCAGCAAAGATCAAGAAATGAAGCTCTACCAAATAGTACGAATAAAAGGATTGAACATTCTACCCAACAAACTCAACCTATCATATCATCATAAGTGTAACAATAGTTCTATAAATACAACCCATTGTACTATAACTTAGAATGCAGTATGCGTTTCATTGAAATGGAAAAGTTCTTTGTCTTCTCCATTCGGCTTCTTGCTTTAGATGTATAGGATTCTCTTTAATTGTATTCTTTTCAAATAATTTATGTACTAAAATGTTGCTTTAAATAGCAATAAGAAAAATGTCGTAAAAGAATCCTAAATGGTAGCTATATGTTCTGCTTTTGGGGATTGCGATTGAGTCAAGGCTGTTTATAAGAGCTTCGAGCTCGATTCTATCAATAGCTCATGATGAATCTGATGAGCTAATAAGTTAAATTTTAATAAGTCGTAATTAGACTCATTAGTGTGTGAACAAACATATTTAAAAAATATTAATATAAAATATACTAAAAGATATTAAAATTTAATTATTATATTATAAAAATAATATAAATCATTTAAATTTATATTTCTACTCTATATTTTAAGTGATTTTTTATTATTTTTATCATGTTATTATAATAACTACCCGAGTAAGAATGATCTTTTCTCTTTCTAAATAAGTTTAAGCTGCTTTCAATCTGAATTTTTTTAGTTTTCTTTATTAAAAAGGTCATCAGTTCTTCAAAGTAACTCCAATCTCAAAAGAAAAGTGCCACTGAGCCAACATATAAGAATTCTACAAATTTAGCTGACACCCTAATGAATTACAAACATGCAATCTTATCATTTTCTTATCTTAGTAATGCAAGTGTCTGACGTAAATTTATATATTTTTTTATTCATTTATTACTTAATCAACTTCATTGAACATTTTATACTTATTATGAGTTGGAAAAATATTGGGAGCCCACCAAATTCAATGAATTTGTTGATTTTATATATGTGTAAGTGTACGATGTCTTCAAGTTTATTCGTGGGTGATGCCCGACCTTATTAGCCAGCAAGCTCAAGAAATTGAAACTAAAAAATATAGAGTGACTATATATATGTTGGCTCCAAGTTTATTCGTGGGATATGTTCGGCCTTACTAGCGGACAAATAGAATGTGTCAAAATATCCAAAATGTTCCTATTTGCCATTTAGTTATAAGAATATGTTGTGCTCTGATTAATGTTGGAAATGATTGTTACTTTATGTTCGTCACACATATAATTGTTATAAGGGGCAAAATTTTATCTGTAGATTTTTTTTTTTTTTTTTATTTTTTTTTTTTTTTTTTTGGTTTCAACTCAAAATTTAATGCATATGTGATGATCTATTTTCATAAAAAAAATAAACATTAAGATAGTCTTTTTTTAATAACACAACTTGTTCATTTTGATGAATAAAAACTAATTAAGGTGTCATCTTTAATTAATTTTAAAGTTAATAGAACAGCTCATCTTCCAATAACATTAAAGATTATGATAGTATATCTACAAATGCATGGATTTGGACTATTGCACTATTTAGTCCTATTGCATCTTAGAACATTCTCAATGGTAGAGAAATAAAAAGTTCAATGTCTTAATTTTGAATGAATATCCAACACACATACATATAAAGAGAGAGGGTTGAGAGAATTATAAGAGACATCATAATTTTTACGTGAATTTTTTTGAAAAAGAAGAAAAAACAACGGGGCCTGGCCTAGTTGGAATAAATTCACTAGTATTTGTTGTTGATTACAAATGATGTCTTTTCTCAAGAGATAGTAGTCGTCAGGAGACAGTGGTCAGAAAGATCGTTGTCTGACGATGGTGGTCGGAATGACCAAAGTAGGTGACAAAGGTCGGAAGGATCATAGTAGGTGAAGGAGATCGGACAAATCATAGTCGGCAAGAGACAGGGGTTGGAAAGACCATAGTCGTAAGGCGGTGGTACGACAAAAGTTCGAGCGTTATTCGATGGTCTGGCGAAACTCCGACTTCTGTTGGTGGTCCGACAAAAGTTTTGGCCTCAATTGGTGGTACGACCGTGGTTTGGCAAAACTCTGGCATTAGTGGGTGGTTCAGGCAAACTTCAACGTTAGGCAGTAATCTGGCAAAACTCTTGCTTCGGGTGGTGGTCCGGCGGTAGTCCGACATCGGGTGGTGGTCCGACAGAACTCTGGAGTTGGGTCGAAGGTGCCTTTATTGGGTATTCCTCTATTTAAAGAAAGCATAGATGTTATCATCCTATCATAAAAAATCCCTTAAAATGATGTCTCCTTTTAATTAGAAGCAAAGTGCTTTCAAACAAACTCATCTTTAGAGGAAGAACTATCAACTAAAGGCTACACATTCACTTACAATTTTGTATTTTGTACCATCGGCGCAAATAAGTTGGTGTAAGAGACAATTGGCATATATATATGAATGTTGAGCATCACTTCTTCTGCATCCCCAAATCTCCATTTTCTTTTAAGAACTCCAAAGCCAGATCTTGGATAAGAAGGTTTTGTCGCGGTCCGGCTCGGGCGGGATCCGTCCCTGTCGGGTTGGGTCGTGACAATTCCTCTATTTAAAGAAAGTATAGATGTTATCATCCTATCATAAAAAATCCCTTAAAATGATGTCTCCTTTTAATTAGAAGCAAAGTTCTTTCAAACAAACTCATCTTTAGAGGGAGAACTATCAACTAAAGGCTACACATTCACTTACAATTTTGTATTTTGTACCATCGGCGCAAATAAGTTGATCAGTAATGTAAGCATATGAATGTTGAGCATCACTTCTTCTGCATCCCCAAATCTCCATTTTCTTTTAAGAACAATCTATAAATGAAATTCTTTAAATAATAAGAAAAATTGCCCATTTTTTCTTTCAAATTATTCATATTTTCTGCTAGGTATTTTGTTAGAAATTATAGGATAAATCTTGAGAGCTTTTTGAGCTCTTCTTGCAAGAGAGAGGGAGAAGAGAGAAGAGAGTAGAATTTGGAGGAGGAAAACTAACATTTTTAAATAATAAGAAAAATTTCCCATTTTTTCTTTCAAATTATTCATATTTTCTGCTAGGTATTTTGTTAGAAATTATAGGATAAATCTTGAGAGCTTTTTGAGCTCTTCTTGCAAGAGAGAGGGAGAAGAGAGAAGAGAGTAGAATTTGGAGGAGGAAAACTAACCTAAAGATTTATTCAATTTTCCCTAAAATATACACCAGCCTACAATGCCTATATAGAAGTATTTATATTGTTGTGATAACTTGCAGGATCAACCTATCCTATAACTAGACCAACACCTCACAACTTACACATTGGTTCAATCTTTATAATCAAAGATCCACATGTGCACCTACTGCGATCTAACTAGCTTCCTGCACTAACTTCATGAGCAATTTCGTCGTCGAACTGAGCCCAATCCTGCTTGAGAACGACATCCACCATTTTCAATCTATGGCTTCAGCTTACGATCCAGAACCGACTCGCCAATCTTCCTCAGACACGTTCTCCAACCTGCAACCCCGCACTACACCTATCTGATTCCAACTCCGCGACCAATCAGTCACCCCAAGGTTCTTAATCATTCTTGTTTTGATCCACTACTCTAACACACAACAACCAAATAACCTTTCTTGTCGATCAGCTCGTAATATTACCCGGAAGCTCCACCTCAAAGAACTAATCAGATCTTTTAACAAGAATAATATCCATGCCAAGCCTCCCGAACTCCACGCCACTATAGGGCAATCCAACCGCAAATCTGCGGCTTGTCTTTACTCGCACTGCTTTCGCAACAATTCTTTCCACAAGATTCTTGAACATAGTTGTTCGGTCCGCCTTAGGTCTGCAACCAAGCCCTGTACGTGTTTGAACTCTTGCATAAGCCCATGTGAACCCAGCTGGCTGATTAATGCCGCTCTGTCCTATCGTGTAAAATCTGCCTGCGGCACTTGTCGCACCTCCACTAGACCCGATCTCGCACAAAACAGGGCATCTAGATCCTCATGCGAGCAACTACGCCTATCCACGACACCAACCAGCGACACCTCCATCTACATGCGGCTCCACCTGCGGAGTCCGAACTCCTGCACAAGGCTCCGCGCTAATGCACGATTCACTAGCTCCATGCACGTGCGTCCGCCCCTCATGCAATCCTCGAGCTCCCAATTGCGACAATAGGCTTGCGTGGCCTTCCTCCGGCGTCCGCTCTTCTTGGCCCGTTTGTAGACCCACTAGTTCCCGAGCCTTCTCCCGATCGTGGCAGGCCGCTCGACCTTGCATGTCCATGCAATCCATGTCCTATGTGGCCAGCTTCTTCTTCCTTGCGGTGAATCTTGTGAAGGTCACTTCCCTGCTCAATACCTCCCCGATCAGCCTGCAGTGTGACATCTCTTCTCTCTCATCCACCTTACACGAATGAAATTGCGTTTCTTGATAAGTCCATAAGCTTCTTCCTCCTCGATCACCTCAACAAGACTCTGATACCATTTGTTAGAAATTCTTGGAGGAAACTTGAGAGCTCTTGAGCTCTTCTTGAGAGAGAGGGGGAAGAGGGAAGAGAGCAAAATTTGGAGGAAAACTAACCTAAATCTTTGTTTAAATTTTTCCAAATTATACATTAGCCAACAATGCTTATATATAGACATTTACATTACTGTGGTAACTTGCAAGATCAACTTATTCTAAAACTGGACCAACACCTCACATATTTTCTATAGAAATAAAATAAAAACATAGAATAAACAAAACTAATTGATAGAAAATTTAAGCAAAACAACCGATCAAGGCAATGTGGATGGCTTTTCTTCTTTTGTGCCATGATCAATGGTGATAGAATGTTGTTCTACAAGACCAGATTCAACTACAGATAACTCTGATTTCATGAAATAATCCTTGCTTTGATCATCTCCTGATTGAATTGTTTGATCCTTGCGCTTGCCCCAAAGAAGGGAATAGAGGCCAGTTACTATAACAATTGCCCCAAGAATCCTGCAAACGTTCAATATAGCAAAGCAAAGCATAATTTTTAAGTTTTAATTTAATTATTGAATTAAAACTTTCATGAAATTAAATACTTATTTATTTTAAAAAAATTAAATAAAAATTCTTACGTTCCAAGGTGTATTTTCTCTGCAAGAATGAAGGAGCCCATGATAGCAGTAATAATCATACAGAAAGGACTGAAAGCTCCAGCAAAAACCGGTCCCTTGTCCTTCAAAACCATCTCCAGCAAATAATTAGTGATCCCTGTACATACCACGCCCTGTACAAAATACCATCTTTTATCCTTACCTAATAGTCTCTAATTAATATATTTAATCTTTGGGAAATTTACATACATACCATTTTATTCATTCTATTTATATATCTAACATCCAAAATATTAATATTACATGCCTACCACCCATATACAAATTTAATATCAAATATACCACTCCTATAATTCGTTTCTATCATTCATACCATCCTATAAACTTTAATATTTCATTCTATATACTCAAATTTGTTCTATGAGTGATAAACATGTAATATTAATATTTTAGATGTTAGATATATAAATAGTATGAAATAAAGTGGAATGTATGTAAATCCCCCTTAATTTTTGGCTGAGGAAGAACTTACTGAATAGATTATGGCAAAGAGTTTCATGTCCCAACTTATAATAAAAAATTGTGGTCTTCCATGCTCCATAACTAGGGCAAGTACAATGTTCATTACAGCACCCAATGAACAAATGAAGGTGGTGAGGTGAAGATTAGCCCCATATGATTTTAATGTATTGGACTGTCTCAAATGAATGTAATATTGTTACATTAACATGAGATGAGCAAATTCACAGAACTAAAAAATCATTATTACCTGCAGGATTAAGAAGATACTCCAACTGGTGCTGCTTGCTAATATCATTAATGTTCCCTTAATCCTCCTCAAGCTGCCATTGCCATTAGAGTTCTCTGTAGTGTTATAACGTTCTGGTCCTTTGGACCATGGAAACTCTTCAACTGGTCCTTCGTATAAAACCAAGAGAAGTGTACCAGTTAAGGTCAATAGAGCTCCAATGACCTTAGCTTTGCCAGTTACCTGATGTATGTTCAGCTTCTCAACCCTGATTTTGATTAGTAAACCAAAGTTAACTAAAACATTGACCAAGTTACATTTGATGTAGTCAAGATCAAAATTCTGAGGACAAGATTGTAGGTTGAGGAATTTAGTCAAACATTTAATAATGAAAAAATATATCAAGGTCACTACCGATAAATGTGTTTGACCTTCGAATTTTCAATTGAAAATGAGTTAGTCCATTGAACATATCTAACCCAGGTAAATGTGTCATCTTGCCTACAAGGCAAGGTCATAAGACCTATTTCCTTCTAGCATGTAAATTTGTCTTGCATTACATTGATTCTTAACATTATGAAGTTAAAATAGTTTATAAAAAACTTCTTATCTTTGGATGGCTTGGTTGATGTCAATATGTTATTCTTATGAAGTGACTCCATCTCTTCTTTAATGGCGAGCTCAAGCTTGATAGAATACTTTAAATTTATAGTTTCTTTGTAGCACTCGACCTCTTCTACATTTGTAACCAATAAGTAATAAATTGAAGAAGAAAAAATGAAAGTAAGTTTGTGAATTCTTTATGACTTTCTAACTTGGGTCACATTTGTATTAGGTTGAGATTAATCAAATTTTCTATAGTATTTTCTGTTTCAATTATAACATAAATGGCTCAACATGTTCTAGAATGGAGATTTTTCTTGCAGTGGAGGTTGGCCTATGTTTAAATAATACTAAGTTATTGGAGATAATATTTTTAATGTTGATAATTATGTTAATTTGAATGTCCCAAAATTTATAATTGAATTTATATTTCACATATCCTATGAAAAAACTATTCCTAGATTTAGGACCAAGCTTACCTCTCATTATCTGCTTGACATACACATATGTACAAAACTAAAAACCTTCAAATGTAGATGCATACTTTAGTGTTTGTCCAGGCTTCTCACAAAGCTTAAATTTTATCAATAAATTCAATAGAAGGCTTCCATGTATTCTCATATTACTTGCATTTCATTGAGATTTTATTCATCCTCTTAAATATTTAAATTTATTATGGAGTTCCTAGGATTAGTTTCTCTATACAAATCTTCTAATTTACATAATAGTTTTTAATATTTATATAAGCTAGTATACAAAAGTTTAAAATATTTTTTCCCTTTTTTTTTTTTGATAAAATAAACTCATATCATTTTGATGTTGCATCGAAATAGATGACAATATAATGATCCTGTTAGAGGGTAAATTATTAGGTGCGGACACCTAACAGAGAGAACCATCCTATTTTCTCTCTGTCTATAGTGAAAGCACAGTCAAAGTGCAGATACTATAGTAACTGTGCTTTGAATGCGTTTTCACTGTAGACAGAGAAAACCGAACGATTCTCTCCGTTCGGTGTTCGCACCTAATAATTTATCCTGTTCTGTTAGAGAAGTGATGGGTGACGACCTCCAAAGCTGTTTACACATGCTCCTACATTTTGGCCTTTAGTTCTTTTTCAGCCTTGGAGAAACAAATCTTTATTTGCCAACAATATAATCTTAGGTATCAATGAGAACAAACTTTGAGAATGGACAAACTTGATGTTCATATAGCGTGCGCAGTTGTTTGTGCATCGCTAAAATTTTGGGCCTTACCTCAACGCCAGGGATAAAAAGAACGTAATTGATGGAATTAAATTTTTAAGAGCAGCACCGTAGGTCGCAGAGGTCAACTTGGTTCCCATGAAATATAAGTTCTGCTCCAGTACAGTCCTAATTACATAAAGAGATGAAGAGCATCAATTCTCAATGGCTCCTAATATATTAACTAAAATAAAAAACCAAAAAACAGAGAGCGAGAAAGGCATATTACTGAAACAATGCGAGTCCCATTATCTTGAGGAAAATAAGTTTTGTCATCATAGGCCTTTTTACTCTGCTAAGGTAAAATTATTTAGAACATGAGAAACAAACAAAAAAATAAAATTTAGAGCATAACTTTCATAAGAAATACTAAGGGGCTATTTTGTAGCAGGATTTAGGACGGATCTAAGGTGGATTTGAGCAAAATCCAGCCAAATAGTCTAAAATACAAAACCAAATCTCACGGCAAATGAAAGCTGCCGTAGACGGAAAACTCCACCTTTTCGTGCTAAATCCCGAATTTCCGAAATCCTGTTTTTGGTCGGATTTACTAAATCCATTGACTTGAGAGGAAGAGACCGCTCGCTAAATCCATTTTATAGCCAAACAGTTACACGGGATTTAATAGGATTTATCATGAATGTTACCAAACAGCATTAAGGATTTAGGCTTCTCAAGATTTCCAAAATCCTGATTTAGCATATTTAAGATATCCTACTTAAATCAAATCTTGGGTGCTGCCAAACAGCCACTAAAGGTTTTTTTGATATAACTTTCTTATTGCTTTCTAAAACAACTTTTTAGTATAAAAATTTCTAGTTTAAAAAATTTTTGTACTCAAAACTATTTTAGGAAGCAGTAAGAAAGCAATTCCAAATGAAACCTAAGTTTTGGAAATGATTATAACTAATTTCAAAATGTTAATGTTCTTGTTTAATCAAGAACATTTACAGTAAAATTTTCATAAACTGTATAGTATATATAAATCTGTAGTAACAAGGTGGAAAGGGAAGTACCTCTCAAAATAGAGCGCAAATGGAGCAATAAAGATGGCAGCAACAGCATTACGGTATACAAACAACACAGATTGGCTCATGCCATCCTTCACAATTGCCAAAAAAATAATTGACATAACAGCAAAGCTGAACTGCTGAAACACCATGGCTGCATAAGGCTTCACCTTCTGAAACATCTTAGTAATATCTTTTCTGAACGGATACAATTGAAGAGCTACATCTGCTCCTCCTTTAAAAAAAAATTTTTTTGGCTCTCCGATAACGACTTTCTTTTACGTCAATTAAATTTGTGCTCCAGCTCTCAATATTCCAGAAAAAAAGAAAGAAAACAAATAAAGAGCCAATCCACGTCTACTCACCAACATATTAAGAAACACTTCCTAGTTCCTATATAAAATATTTCTTCTCATCTAATCAAAACTTTGCTTTCAAACATTTCTTTTATATGGAGTTAATTTCCATATAATATCACAACAAAACAACAGCAATAAGATCTCATCCTACCATGTGGGATAAAATAATTTTCATATATTATTATTAAAGTAATCCATTTCTCAATCAAAGTTAAATAAATCAAGTCATTTGTTCAATTAATAAATAGAGCATAGCATAATTTTTAACAAAAATATTTTAAAAATAAAATAGTTATTAACTGCATTTAGAAACATATATTTGGATAATCTAAAATAAATAAGCTTTTTTCCAGATAACACTTGTATTCTCTATCTTACTGTAGCTTCTGGCACAGAATTAGCCGATGCTTATTTCTCAGATATCGTCATTGCTTCTTCGAGAGAGAGTGTCGGTGCAGTAGACATGCCTGTGAAGATATAAATCATCTGCACCTAGATAGAAATCAGAGCCCTGCATTGGGCACCCATACCCAAACCCACCCAACTACCCACCAATACCCAATGGGTATGGGTGGGTATGGGTATGCTCATAGACTTATGGGTGGGTATGGGTGGGTATTCAATATGGTGGATAAACCCTCAAGGAGATCCATGGGTACCCAATGGGTACTCGACCAGGACCCTGTGTAGGGCTCTGATAGAAATACCCTATGAAGCTTTACTGTTCTCTGAGATTAACTATGGAGATGATTGGATCATCATATAGTCAGACATATAATCATTCATTGTAAAAATATATTAGCATGTTTCCGATTGCAAAAATTTGAGATGGCAAGGTCATAGCAACTCTATGGCAAGTTAAGCCATACATTTTTTTTTTGTTCTAAATATTGAGAAGTCCATTGTAGATTATATAATACACTGCTTCACTCTTAACAAATTTATTAAATGTCTATTGATATTATTTATGCTTTTACATATATAATTGTGCTTTTCTTAAAAATTTTTTTTTTTGCTAGTTTTTTTATTCTATCGAAAAAGTATAAAAAAAACTCAAAATATACCCCAAAATATTCATGTATGACCAATTTAGTCTCAAATGATAATTTTGCATCAAATTTGTATATTTACGGAATTAAATTGGAGCAACATTATACTCTTATATTATATAAATAATCAGATACCATTATGAAATTTAACCCCCAAAAAATATAAACGCCGAAAATAAACCAAAATAAATTGATACAAGTTTATTAAAAAAAATATTATTATTAAAAAATCATTTAACATAGCAATCACAATCTCCCAATCTTTCTTCCTCACCCCCTCCTCCTTACCCTTCATATCGGCGTTTTATGTAGCTATTTTTGGTTTATGAGTTCATGGACGGCCGTTCATTTTTGTATCGTGATTAGTGGCTTCTCTATCTGACTTGGTTCAACTACAGAAAGATCTTATTTCATTAATTAATTCTTTCTTTCATCTTCTGAATGAGGTGGAACGTTGCTATTGTCCCAAGGAAGGCAATGGAGGCCAGCTGCTATGGCAATTGGCTCAATAATAATCCTACAGGCGTCCAATATAGCAATGTAAGATCTTCTTTATAACAGTTTTAATTTAATTATTGAATTAGTCCATTAATTAATGCCAATGTTTCATTATTTAAAATAATTGAAATAAAAATATCATTCAGTTGCTCTCTTTTCATGTTTTTCGTTATCTAATATTCTGAATGATATATTTAATTTTTGCTTCGTGTCGCAACGTAGGTATAATCCATGATTGAGATCTTCCAATCTCCAGAATTAGGAGAAGAACAACATTTGTACTAATTGCTCATATAGTTGAGCTTTTGAGTTAAAAATAAATTTGACTAGCAGTATATTTAGCCTAATTTTAGTAACATGTTGTTTAATTTTTTTTTTTTTTTTGGGACATTCAGGTCAATTAAGGCAAATTCACACACCACACATCACTTGTACCAATAAGTACCAATTTCTTAAGGAATTTCACAGAAGCTCAAAAATTATAAAAAAAAAATACAAGAATATATATGTTATAACGAAAATAGTTTATGATTTGAATTTATAATGTTTCTTGAAATAATTTTTTACTGTTGTAGGGAAAAAAAAACTCTTTAAGAAAATTAAGTGTTATTACGTGTTGTGTTGGAGTTATGAGGGAATTAGAAGTTTTGTAATTGTTTGTGAGGGATGATGATTAAATCATCGTGCTGGAGTTATGAGGGAACAAGAAGTTTTGCGATTGTTTCTATAATGCAATGAAGAGGTTATCTTTAGCTTATGTAATGTTTGTTCTTATCAACTAAGTATTATGAATGGAGGATTACAGTGCAGTGAATAGGTTGTTTTCTTCTTGGAATGGAGGATTTCAATGCTAACCTAAGTATTATGAAGTTAGTAAAAAAATGCGAGTACGTTTTGTAAATTCGGACAATGATGAAAAATGGGAGAGATTCGTACTACGTTGTTTATGTTGGATGACACCCTATTTGGATGATCTATATTGCTACCAAGACTAAAATCACATAATTTTCTCACGTATACCAAAGATGAAAGGTGACGTGGGATCATTGGAGGGCCATGGGATCAACCACTGGAGAAGCAATCTGTGATGTTGCTGTTTCTATAGTCCTTACTCATCTCCATAGGTGAATCTGCTGAAGTCTAAGTCCAATGATAATTTGTTGGATTCATGAGTTAGTGTAAATAGCTTATTTGGACTTTCACTTGTTTTATTTCTTTGTTAGTTAATGTTCTAAAGTTGCATTTCTTCAAGTATTCCCCTTTATATAAAGAATTCTAGAGATTTAACAGGTTCTAAAAGCATCCACATGCCACAAATCCTTTGTTATTGCAACTGACATTATGTTATATTTAAAACATATCGAAGTGAAATCATGGCCAAAGATTTTAACCCTTGCAACAAGATAAAAGACGATTGCAATTTCTTTAGATGGATTGATGAAGCCGATCAAACATCATCAAACACAAGTCATTATCTGATACTAAGACCAATGGATGAGATAACTTTGGAGAATTTAAAGTCTATGCAGCTTTACTTATTTCAAATCAAGTTGTTATTAGTAGCTTTGGTTGTGCCATTATAGTTAATTTTGTTGTACATATGAAGATTTCGTAATGTTCTAAGTTGTAAGCGTCATTATAATGTGAACCCTTATGTAAACTTTTTGAAATAGTACAAAATGAATTCATTGATCTTTGTCAAGAAACTATTATATTACTTGTTCTCTTCATTTGAACAATACAATAATTACATGATTGAATGACCCAAAAAATTTTAACCAAAAAATATATATTCCTCAATGATCTTTATATAGGATTCTTGTTAAGTTATTTTGAGGTGCGAAGTAAGCCACACCTCCCACACTTATGTTCACTTCCTTTTCTGTTTGTTTTTTTTTTCCAAAAAAAAATTGATTTTTTTTTTCTTTAGGCGACCCCTAGGTCTTTGAGTTTTGGGCCCACCAACTTAGCATGATCATCAACAATACACCAATGACTTTTGAGAGGCAGTGTTGCTATTGCACATTCATAAGCTTGTTTGTACCTGCAAAAATTGAAACTTGAAAAAGATTACATAACACAAAACTTGAATGTCATAATTTTCAAAAAGAAGCTTTCATAACAGTTAACATGGTAGTATTGACAAATATATACATGCCAAAGTGGATGTTCCTTGTTCCCAATTATTGCGACTGCATGAATGCACAATAACACAGTCATTTGCCAAAGGTTACATAAACATTCCCTAGTACCACTGTTCACCTCCCATCTCTCATTTTGACCTTCCACTTTGAACTTCGAAGATTAAGATTGCCTAATAACGAAGAGCTCTTTTTGTGTTGTAACTTCTCTAACACACCCCTCAACATAAGGGACCAACTCTACTCTCCAACCACATGTGGTAAGCCTTCTCTCAGACCTTTGCTCCATTAACATGCCCACTACAGGAAAACCTGTTATTACCGGCGGACGTAATCCGCCGGAAACAATGCACAATCCGACGGAACCGTTAGTTTCCGGCGCATGTTCTTCCGCCGGAACCTGCGCCGTCAATGCCGGCGCAAAAATATCCGCCGGAAATTTCGACGGTAATCGCGTGTTTTCCCGTAGTGGCCCTTGATCATATCAACAAGATCAACCATAGGTTTGCATATTGCTTCTTCAATCCAAGCATTAAAAGATTCATTTATATTGTTAGCGTTAGAGGAATTTTTAAATTTCAATTGAAAATATAAATCTTGTCCACTTATATGGAAAAGAAGTTAAATATGAGTGAACAACTGGACTAACATTATAGATTTTCAGCAACTTTAACTCAAAATCAGCCTTTTTGTTGGCATTTGCAGCTGTCCACACTAAGTTTAGCAACCTTGGACTATCATAACAACAAAACAGCTTCTTATGTTCTTACATAAATGATGCATGTACACCCTATATTCTGTGTCAGGATACACATCTCTAATTATTTTTTCCAAACCTTTCTCCTTACCTGAAATAAAAGCAAGTGGGTATAATTCACATCTAAAAGATTGTTTCAAATTTAAAAGAAACCAGTGCCATGTATCCTTTGATTATGTCTCAACAACTACAAAAGCAAGAGTAAATTAAATGTTGCAATCATCAAGTAAATTAGTAGACAATAGAACACACAAGTACTTCGATTTTAGGAGGCCAACTAATGTTCTACAGCCTACAATGAAGCCTTCAATGCATACGTTGAAGCTCACATAAAACCTCTTGAACGAGTAATCATCAGCATCGTAAGTCTATGTAGCAAGTTTATTTCCAACTCTGTTAACACCATGACAAAAATGTGTATCTTCTGACTTCCTAACTTCAAAGGCTTGACCATTTTGCATGGCGATGCACGTACCCTCTAAGGGCACTCTCAATGCGAGCATGTTGCTATAACTCTTGACTTATTGCTAGCCTTTATCTTGACCCCAAAGTTATTAGTAATCGTGGTGAATCGTAGGAACTACTTGGAACTACTAGCATCATGAAAGCAAGCACCAATTTCTAATATTTTACATCACTAAGTGGTGGCATAAGCTGATTATAACTTAAGCTTTCAAAGTCAATGTTGTTTGAAGCAACATTAATAGCTCTACCGGGTGCTAGGACAATGCTCTGAACCTTCTAAGATCATATCAGCCTCTGCATCTTCTTGTAACATAGCCATAACTTTAACCTGCTGACTATCATTACACAGTCCTATCATTTGCATCACATCAGCATCACTCAAAATGGTCTCGTAGACTTTGGGAGAAGTAGGATTTACATGATAGTGTAACTTAAACTCATGCCCAATTAGCCATGGACATGTCATTTCAACCTTCTTTTGGAGGATAAAGTAATTAATAAAATAGTTCTCTAATTTCATCATTTTTTTGTTTTTCACCTCCATAACTTCTTCGTTGATCACCTTTAACTTCACTCCAATATCTCCCAAATTTAAATATAACACAGATGCATTCACCATCATTTATCATTGCTTTCACTTAATGTTATTCCAATTAACTAAAAAACCTGCAAATAAAAAGGTAATATGGATATCTCATGACAAGAATATATATATATATATATATATATATATATATATATATATATACATGCATCACTCAAAACTCATGAGATCAATAGGACGAAGGAGAAGTAGGAGTACTAAGGGCTGATAAATGAGAGTTCACAATCATTAGAGGACATTCTAATGCACTAAATCAATAGAGAACAAACAAATAAGGAGGCAAATCTGAAAATGACTGGGAGCTAGCACACGCGTGGGTGAAGAAGACGAACAGTGTGTGATGCGAGGGAATAAGACTTTTAGGGGATGAGAAGTGTATATTTTAAATTTTAGGTGTTTGATATGAAAATATATGAGTTTTAGGCATTATGTAGGTAAATCCCCTAATTTTTAGTAATGAAAAAAGCTAAAGATAAGAAAATAATAATAATAATAATAATAAAAAGAAAATGCCACTTCACCGCTGCACAGGTGCCACAGCTGCGTAACAACCAAGCTGCCCATTCTTTCCGACGCAGCAATCGGTCGTCCCTCTCCTCACCTGTTACCCTTCTCTCTCCTTTCAAGAAAACCAAATCACTCCAAAGCAAAAAACGGTCGCGTCTTCCATTGTTGCGAGGCGTGCCCACGCCTCACCACCCCGACACCCTCCCTGGCTTGTTCGCTTGCTGTCCTTTATTGCTCCGATCCCGATTGCGAAGCGGGCACCAGGAGGAGGGAAGCGATCGAGCGAGCACAATTCCGGCCCCGACAACCCTAGCTATCCCTCAATCCACACTCTAGCAGGTACGTAGCTTTCCCCGCTTCTTTACCCTCCATTTCTTATCCTAATTATCGCAATTTCTCCGAAAATATCAGCATCGAACCCTTCCATGTCTCGTTAAGATCGAAGATCGAGATTGCATGTTAGCATGTGCGCGCGCCTTTATTCGATTACTTGATGGGTTTGCTTGATATGTCTTATCAAGCTTAGGTTTTGGTCTGGAACTTTGCGAGAGTCCAGCGAATATTTCGCTCAATCTCGCGTTAGTCCCAGTGGCTGCAATTGATATTGAGCTTATTTGCTGTGTTTGTTAACCCATTCCTTCTTCTTTGTCTGGAAACCGAGTCTCTTCTCTACGCTGTTTCTTTCATAAATTCTCAATTCTCATACGTATGTGCTTACTGGTTGCTGTTGGAGCTTGCAACTGCTAAAGATCTACACTTTCGCGTCATTGCTTCCTAGAAACAGTTAAAGTCGCATTCTTTACAGGATATCTCACTATTCTGTCATTCAACTACTGTAGTGTGATTGATTTTAGGTTCTAAGAGTTGGATGGAGATGGTAATGGGAGTTTTAATTTTAATCGTGTTAAGTGAAGAATTATTCTGCTAGTGATGCTTGCTGTGATGAAGAATATTTGAAGGATAAGTAAAGGGATTTGTTTTTTGATATTAGCAGGTGTGTACATCTAGTTCAGTGACTGCCTCCTCCTGTGACGACTGATCTATGTATGCAGCCCTATAGTTAGCAAGAGCTTTTAGACAGTTAACTTGAGTTTATCAAATACTTGATTAGCCTGTTGTATTTTGGTTTCAGAAGACTTGATCACTTTTATCACATGACTATAATCGTATGTGAAGCCATTCCTCCTTATCTTATGCGCTTTGTGCTTTTTCATGTCTATGTCTGTAAAAGTGTTTGTTTTGGGGGACTGCTGTGGGTGTAAGAAGAGCTAGAAAGGTTATTCAGAAGATATTCTGAAATGAGATTACAAAACCCTTTAACGATTGAATTTCTTATTCTGTTTTGGCAAGGAAATGGATTCAATTCAATCCTTTTGCTACTTTTCAATGAATTTCAACTGAATTTGATTGTTCAAATGTTCATAAAAGTGTGATGCATTATGAGTGTGTGTGTATATCTATATGCATGGATGTTTATATACAAGGCACAAGGAGCATGAGAACCTTTTTAACCTTAATGCAATGAAAACTTGTGTTAAGATATTTTATGCCTTGTTAGTTGACTTGCTAATTTCCAAGTGCAGGCTATGGATCTATGTGACTTTCTAGAATAATTTAAGAATGTTTGTTATTAGTTTTCTCTAATCTTGTTTTTCTAGGGATAGGAAATTGTACTTGACTACTTTTATTGGTGTTCTTCTATACTATTATTAATTGTTTTTATTTTCAGATTAACTGGTGATTTGTACTTGGAAATGCCTTCATCATAGTCTAAGCACTATCAATCATCTCAATGTCTTAAACTATTCTGTTGTGTCCGGAGAATTCCCTCAATTGTTGGTTTATAGTTGAATCACTGACAAGATGGTGGTAATCCATCTGATATCTATGAACGAAAGCATTTCATGAAGTGAATGCTTGGATAAAAATTCATAGTTTTTTTCTTCTGCTCCCACTGTAATACTTGAATTGCTGGATACTGTTGGAATGACTCGCATGCTTGGTGATGCTCTGAAAGATAAACTTAAAAAAAAAAAAAAATTGGGAGAACTTTTAACATGGATGTGTCCCATACAGACTGTACTACAGGTTTCTGTTAACTTAAATGAAAGTGTGATTTTTTAACACAAAACAGAAGAAGAATCAAATTTTAATCCTGGCATTTAAGTTTATTTGTGAAGCAAACCTGCTTTTCTCTGTTTAAAGGAATTAAAGAAAGAAATTCCATGGTTTAAGATCTTTAGACATTGTAAAAATATTTGTAAATTAAAATTAGTACTACATAGAACAGTCGTATGAAGGAATGAAGAACTATCTATAATGCTGATATAAATACTTGAATAAAGGATGACAGCTAATAGTAAAGTTGGGTGTGATTGAAATGAAAATCTTACAAAAGGTATATAATATAACTTGGAAGGACAAAGTGTGTGATGATTTATCATAAAAAAAGCTAGAGTATTATCCTTTGAAGATAAAGTAGTAGAAATAAACTTCATAGGTTTGAGCTTATATAATGGAAACTAGAACATGCACTAAGGCAAGAAATTGTGCAAAAAGATATGTTCAAAATAAAATTATCGGTCTCTATGGGTAAAACAAAGGAGGATGATTCTTATAGCCTACTTAAATTACTTGGGAATTTTGATAAGCAACATAAGTCTAATGATAATGATGATAGTAATGATGGTGAAAGAGCGAATTTTCATGCTTTATTGAAAGTCTTGATGATGCGAATAAAGTTTAAATTACTACAACAAGGTCCCTACCAACCTTTAGTTTGTTGCTTTGTAAATAATTTCCATTCATGGAGTCTAAAAGGGTTTGGAGATGCCCTTTATTGATGATAAGTTTGTGACACAGTGAAATTCTTAACTTAATTCATGGATTTTCAATTATCTTAATATTTAAGATGAAATATTATTATATTATTCATACCCAAGAGATCAATATGATATTGATTTTTTCAGACGGAACCCTAGAGGTTACTTGTTTCATAATTAGTTATTTTTGCTCATCCTATTTTTTGTGTTAGATGCCAATGAGATATCAATGTTATTAGATGCTAGTTCTATCTATCAAATACCACACATTTGATTGAACATTATTGTTTTTAAAACTATAAGTATTTCTAATATTATAATTATTTTGTTCAGTATAGGGGTGTTAATTAGTGGCCCAACACAAATTTGACTTAAAAAATACGAGTTAGGGTTGATATTAAATTTAATGTCATGTTTGGGTATGAAATTATCAACTTATCAAAATTTTGGTTGAGTTTGGTTTAAGTCAAAACTCGAAATTGACTCGATTACTTTTATATTTGGATTAAACAAGTCGGTTCAAGTTAATTGGGTTGTATTGATTAAAAAAAAGAATGCATGATCCATATAATAAACATGATAAACCGGTTAGGTTCAGGTTAAACATTTTGACTCATATAATAATGGGTTGGGTTTGAGCCAAGCAAATTGGAGTTGGGGCAACTTCGAGTTAGAGTTGAACCCAAACCGTCGACCCAAATTGACATTCCTAGTTCAATGTTATTTTTAGAGAGTCTTGTACATTTGTAATCATATTACCTTCTTACTATTACCATGTTCAATAGTTCATAAATTATTTTGTTATGGAATTGCTGGTAAAATCATGTGATTATAAATTTATCAAACAAATGAAGATTGAAAACTAGAACTTTAATCCATATTTTATTTAATAAATCCATAAGCATAGAAAACTATGATGTCTTATGTAAGTTCAAAGCAGCAAACTGAAAGTAACCCTTAAAACATTTGGCATCATATGCACGCCCTTTGCAACCACAAGCAATTCTCAGATTAAAATCCCCTTCTTTGAAATCATTGTGTAAAATTGGCTTTTCTCCTTAAAAAAATAATGACTTATTTTGAATAGTAAAAAACCTTAATGAGCATTCCATCTAATGCTCTAATACTATCCTATGAGAAATTTATAACACTATATGCTTAATCATATGATCTTGTATGGATCACCTAAGATATATGGTTTGATATTGCCTTACCTTGAGTCATGGAATAAGCCTAAAGTAACTTAAATCCTAAATTTCAGTGTAATAAGTTCTGTTTTTAAATAGTAATTGACTTTTAATACTATTTTGAAGTAAACTAAAAAAATTCATATGAGCACCCGAAAGCTAATTATTTTTCTGTGTGCACTCTAGCCTAGTATATATAGAAACATTTTCACCTGCTCCTCCAAAAAGTATTTTTTTATAGACCAACTGATTTAAGAATATCATAAATGTTGAAAAATGAAGCCTTTTGCATGCAAACCATAAAGATGCCTAACACATCATGCTCTTATAAAGATTTCTCATGTATTGCAGTGTAAATTCCCTCACAATCTCATCTTCACTATGGTATCTTTAAAAATAGTTGATCCAATTGCACATGATGTGATGACAACTTTAGCGCAAATACTCCTGAAGCTAAATTTGAAAATGATAATATGATTAGTTGCAAAAATCAACATAAGGATTTTTTAATTTCTTGGTAATTTTTAATAAGAAGAGAACAAGTTCTCTAAATCATGATGCCTTGTAACTATAGAAACTTGATCTTTAAAGATAGTTATGCTTGAAAATTCTAAGTGTCAGAAACATCAAGGGAAAAATATATTTTTATTAACAAGCTCTAGCTCAAGTAGGTTTGGATATGAGTTCAAAATTAAAATTTTGGAATGACTTAGAAAAATTAATACAAAAGATACCTCTTGAAGAAAGAGTTTTTATTGGAGGAGATTTAAATGAACATGTTAGTAGAGAGGTAGATGATTTTAAAAGCATTCATGGTGGTCATGGGTTTAAAACAACTAATGAAGGTGGTAAGATCATATTATATTTTTCTTTAGCTTATGATTTTTTAATAGCTTATACCTTATTTAACAAAAGAGATGAGTATTTTATCACTTATAAAAATGGATACAATGAAACACATATTGATTATTTTCTTATAAGAAAATTAGATCGTTTAAATTGCAAAAATTATAAATTTATTTTGAGTGAAAATTTATATACTCAACATCGATTATTAGTTTTGGACTTTAAGATAAAATGGAAGAAAATAAAAAATAAAGTAAAAGGATATTCTAGGATTAGATAGGGGCTTTTAAAGAATATTAACAAAAGTATTTTTGAGAGTAAGATTTTAGATTTTAAGATTTTATCTGTGCACGAGGATGCTAATGTTATTGATGCATGCAAATTTAATTTTTTTTGTAATTTGAATGCTATAGTTTTTTTTTTATGCTACACTATGATGGAAGACATCCAATGATCATGTGTAGGTAGTGCTTGGGCTTGACAA